AACAGCTCCTTATCAGAGCTACGGCTTGCCCAAGGCCATCCAGCCAGGTGCAAGTGGAGTGGGGAATCAAACCCGGTTCTCCCAGATTAGAGTCCGCACACTTAACCACTACACCAAACTGGCTCTCTACGAAGATTACACACACGTTTTTATTAACATTAAATGAGACCGCCAAAAATAAAAACAAAAGGGGTAAAAACAGATATTGATAATGATATTTATTTGTCCGGTGATATTTATTAGTTTGCTGATGATGTTTATTTGTCTAAGAGAGAGAGAAAGGGAGAGAGAGGTGGAAAGAAAGAATGAAAGAGGGGGAAAGAAAAAGAGGAACTAAGAAAGCAAATAGATGGGGAAGTGAGGGAGAGGGAAGAAAGGAAAAGGAAGAGAAAGTAAGGAAGGAAGAACGAGAGAAAGAGAGAAAAAGAGAAAGAAAGGTGGAAAGAAAACTGGCTGGGAAGGGAAGACTAATGGGGAGGTGCCCCCCCCTTCCCCAGCTGCTCTGCCAGGAGCCGCACAATATGCATGGAAGAGCCACATGTGGCTCCCGAGCCAAAGCTTGGCCACCCCTGGTATAAACGGAGCGAATGAATATGCTCTGTATGGGGTAGACAGTTGGTCTCATCCTGCAAGGATGGTCTTCTCACATCTGATATTAGTTGTGTAACTCCCCCTAAAAATTAGATTGCCAGCATTTAGGGCAGGTTGGGGTCTTGCTGTAAATAAAGATGGAATCTCTTTTTGGGGGAGCAGTTAAATGCTCTTCTTCTTCTTTTTTGGCTTGCCAATACAGACGGTGGGATCCTGAAGCATTCGACCACGTTGACCAACCGCCAAAGGGGCAACAAAGTTTCTGCCTTGCCAGCTACCCTGGACAGTAAGTATCCCCTTCAGCGGGGCCAGACAATCCACTCTCATCCACAGTATCCTGTTTGTGAAACCAAAAGAGACCTGGTGTGTGTGAGAGAGAGAGACTCTGGGTGCTTTCACACATGCAAAATCAGGGGTGTCAAACTCATTTGTTACGAGGGCCGGATTTGACATAAATGAGACCTTGTTGGGCCAGGCTGTGTGTGTCATAAAATGTAATGCCAGGTAGCGGAGACATAAACTTTATAAAGGACACAAACACAAAGGGTTATTTTTTTACTTAAAATAAAAACATGCTTCAAACATTAGCACTCTTGCAATATTTTGTTTATTGAACAGTGTCTGATAACTGACACCTCTTGCTCTGAATTATTGCATCGAAATGTCTGTGCTGTTGTCATCTTGAGTATGCTGTTCAGGTGTGTATCTGTAAGCTGCAAACCTACGATGACGCAGCAGCAGCAGAACTGGAAGAAGAAGCAGAAGACAGCCAGTTCCACTGTGGGCCTGATAGAAGTCCTCCGGGGCCTTATCTGCCCCCCGGGCCATATGTTTGACACCCCTTTTGCTTAATAATGCCGTTTTAGTCCACTTCAGCAACCGATTTTGCCATTTCACACAGTAAGATCCAGCTGCAAAGTGCATTGAAAGTGGATTGAGTGGCCACGATCACACACTCAATAATCCACTTCCAATGTACTTTCCAACTGGATTTTTACGGTGTGAACTGGCAAAATCCAGTTTGAAAGTGCACTGAAAGTGTGTTATTTAGTGTGTGTGTGAAAGTGCCCAGAGAAGAGGAAGAGTGGAACTGCGGGGGTGGGGGGCACACAAGTGACTCAAGAGCATTTTAAGAGCTTTCCGTGTATGTGAATCCGATTTGAGACTCCGAAATCTTCTCTGTTGTCTTCCCCAGAATTAATTCCAATCCAGGGCGTTTTACCATTCAAAGGCAGCTTCTAGTGTTCTGAATAGAAACGAGATCCTGTCCAATGTTCCCTCTAAGCTGAGTTAGTGTGAGCCAGCTCACAGCTTTTTAACCCCTGGCTGACACACTTTTCTTTTCGCTCAGGAAGGATGACTCCAGAGCAAACTAATCTATGCAGTAGCCAAATCGCTCGCTCACAACTTCAATGAAAGTAGCTCACAAAGTGTAATTTTTGCACACCAGACTCCATAGCTTAGAGGGAGCATTGGTCCTGTCAGCCAAATGTTGAAATCAAGATCCAAATCCCACCTTTCTGCTGCTACAAATAGCACCACTTGTAGCTTTACAAAAGAGAGAAATTTTCATGATTAGAATACAAAAATAAAGAAAGCTGCAAAAACCCCTCTGTGCTTTGTAGTTGGCCCTCCAGAGTTACCGGTTGGCTGCAGCGTGAGAAGGACCCCTTGTCGCACCAAGCAGGGCTCGTTCGACGATCTTATGATCGCAAAGATACCTGCGGCCGACTGAAATCATGGAAACCCGAAAGCAAGGTGCAGAATGGGGGTTCAGTGGCTAAGTTTGCCTGCAACTAGCCGAACAAACTTTGTATATCGAGTCAAACTGGTTAAGCAGAACAAGAGATATCAGTGCCTTGGTTCATTTTTGGTAAAGGGTAAAGAAGAAGAAGAAGAGAAGAGATTGGATTTATACCCCGCCCTTCACTACCCAAAGGTGTCTCAGAGCGGGTTACAAACTCCTTTCCCTTCCCCTCCCCACAACAGACATCCTGTGAGGTAACTGGGGCTGAGAGAGCTCTGACGGAAACTGCTCTTTTTTCAAGAACAGCTCTTATCAGAACAACGGCTTGCCCAAGGTCATCCAGCCCGGTGCGAGTGGAGGAGTGGGGAATCAACCCAGTTCTCCCAGATTAGAGTCCATGCACTTAACCACTACACCAAACTGGCTCACCAAACTGGCTTCCCTTGCTCAAAAGCCAGTCAAATCCAACTCTAGGGATGCGGTGCTCATCTCCATTTCCAAGCTGGAGAGCCAGCACTGTCCAAAGACGTTTCCGTGGTCATGTGGCCGGCACGACTAGACGCCGAGGCACACAAAACGCTGTTACCTTCCCTCCAAAGCGGTACCTATTTATCTACTTGCAATTTCTTGCTTTCAAACTGCTAGGTTGGCAGTAGCTGGGGCCAGAGACGGGAGCTCACTCCGTCACGCGGCACTCGGGTCTCGAACTGCTGAACTACCGACCATCCGGTCTGCAGTTCAGCGTCTTGACCACTTGAGCCACCGCAGCCCCTTGGTTCATTTTGCATAGCACCAACTGAGCTTTTGAAGTAAGTGCCAGGGGGAAGGTCCACAAGTGGAAGGTTCAACTGCTGTCCTTTCTTCTGATCCCCACAGCGCTGTCCATTTACCAGCTAGCAGCTCAGGGCGAGCTTACCCTGCTGAAGGAAAATCTGCAGAAAGGTGAGAAACAAAACACTCAATTCAGAAAACATTCCTGCCCAACTTGATCCTGAGGATGATAATAATAATAATATACCATATGGCATTGTGTATAGAATAGCCAGGAGATTCTAAGACTGCAGTCTGAAGTTCTAGCTCTTTTAGCATTATGCACCACTAGGTGGTGAGCTAGACTTTTTTTTTTAAGACAAGGGACGTTTCAGAGGTGGTTTGCCATTGCCTGCCTCTGCGTCACGCCCCTGGTATTCCTTGAAGGTCACCCTTCCAAATGCTAGCTAGAGCCGACCCTGCTTAGCTTCCGAGATCGGAGGAGGAGATGATGATGATTGATGATTGGATTTATACTCCGCCCTTCACTCGGAGTCTCAGAGCGGCTTACTCTCCCTACAACAGACACCCTGTGACAGGTGGGGCTGAGAGAGCTCTTTTGAGAACTGCTCTTGAGAGAACAGCTCTGGGAGAACAGCTCTGAAAGAACTGTGGCTTGCTCAAGGTCATCCAGCAGCTGCGAGTGGAGGAGTGGGGAATCAAACCCGGTTTTCCCAGGTTAGAGACCGCGCTCCCAACCACTACACCAACCGGGATCAGGCTAGCCTGGGCTATCCAGGTCAGGGCTAGCCTGAGGCTAAGCTACTGACCTGTGAGGAGACCTCCCCTGTACTTTCATACTAGCAGACACCGGAGCTTGGAAAACCCCGATGCAGCCCAAGTTGGGTGGTCGAATCGAGGCCGGGAAATTCCTGGAGAGCTGGAGGCAGAGCCTGGGGAGGGGCAGGACCTCAGTGGTGGAGCCTCTATGTTCAGAGACTGTCGGTCTCTGAATCCCAGTGCCAGGAGGCAACATCTTTTCCCCTCTCTGCCCTGTTGTTGGCCCTTCAGAGGTACTGGCTGGCCTCTGTGTGGGAAGAGTGCTAGAGTAGATGGACCACTGGCCTGATGTTCTTCTTCTTATGTTCTCATCAGGGAAGGCCTCAGTCTCTATGCCCTGTTGTGGGCCGTCCAGAGAAACTGGTTGGCCCCTGTGTGAGACAGGATGCTGGACTAGAGGGACCATTGGTCTGATCCAGCAGGGCTTTTCTTATGTTCTTATCAGGGAAGGCCTTGGCCTCTGGGCCCTGTTGTTGGCTCTCCAGAGGAACTGGCTGGCCCCTGTGTGAGACAGGATGCTGGACTAGAGGGACCATTGGTCTGATCCAGCAGGGCTTTTCTTATGTTCTTATCAGGGAAGGCCTTGGCCTCTGGGCCCTGTTGTTGGCTCTCCAGAGGAACTGGCTGGCCCCTGTGTGAGACAGGATGCTGGACTAGATGGGCCACTGGTCTGATCCAGCAGGGCTCTTCTTATGTTCATATCAGGGAAGGCCTTGGCCTCTAGGCCCCGTTGTTGGCCCTCCAGAGGAACTGGTTGGCCCCTGTGTGCGACAGGATGCTGGACTAGAGGGACCACCGGTCTGATCCAGCAGGGCTCTTATGTTATTAATGCCATAAATTCCCCCCCAAAGCAGCCGTTTCCTCCAGGGGAACTGATCTCTTTCATCTTGGCGATCAATTTGTAGTTCTGGGGGATCTCCAGGCTGCAACTGGAGGTTGGCAACCCTAAGCCCAAGTGGTGCCCAACTGAAAAGAAAGGCATAATACCATTAGTTGTGCTTTCAGCAGGTTAGATTGGGGCCTGCGCCCATGTAATTGTGCACAGGAGTGCAGCCATAGTTACTCCTAATTGGATGGGGAGGGAACATTCATATTGGAAGGGTGACCGTGTGGGGAGATGGTAGAGTGGAGTCATTGGGATCCCTAAACCCTCTCCATAATAATGTTAGCCGCTTCCAGTTAGAAGAAGAGGAATTGGTTTCTATACCCAGCTCCTCACTAGCCAAAGGCGTCTCAGAGCGGCTTACAATCTCCTTCCTTTCCTCTACCCACAACAGACCCCCCTGTGAGGTAGGTGGGGCTGAGAGAGAACCGTGACTGACCCAAGGACACCCAGCTGGCTGCATGTGTGGGGAATCAAACCCGGTTCTCCAGATCTGAGTCCACTGCTCTTTTTTTTTTTAATTATTTTACACAACACACAAAAGGGAATATTTGCTCAGTTTCTTTACATTCTTCTTAACGTGCATATACCTGGTTGCTTGTAATTTTCATCACCTTATCTCGTTAAATGTAAGGTTTGCAAATATATTGAGATTTATCTTTTTTGAGTCTTTAAAAGATTAGCAATGTCTATGTTGTCTTGTTAGTATAGTTTTCAAGCCACATATAAAATTTTGTCCATGTATTCTCAAATATTGTTTCTGATTGTCCTTTCAAAATCAAAGTCAGTTTGTCCATTTCTGCCGTTTCCAGGATTTTTCTTAAAATTTCTTCTCTAAAGGGCGTCTTTGTGTTTCTCCAATATTTGGCATAACATATTCTAGCAGTTGTAGTTATATACAATATAAGGTAGGAGTCATTTTTTTTTACAGCTTTCAGGTAAAATATTCAACAAAAATATTTCTGGAATAAAAGGTTACAGAGCAGTTTAAATTATTTTGTAACATTTCATGGATCCAGGCCCAATATTTTTTCGCTTTATCACATAGCCTCCACATATGATAAAAGGATCCAACCTTATTTTGACATTTCCAACATAAATTAGAGCATTGAGAATCAAATTGAACCAACTTTTCAGGCGTAATATACCATCTATGAAACATCTTGTATACGTTTTCTTTATATGAAGTTGCTTTTGTGATTCTTAAGTTTTTCTTCCACACTTGTGACCATTTATCTAGTTCAATATTATGACCCAAGTTTTGAGCCCATTGCTCTTTAACTACCTCACCTCGCTAGCTCTGATAATCTGGAGCGATTTCCCTTCCCGGAGACCCCTGCCAGTCGGCTCAGAGGTCTGACTGCTATTGGACATTTCCTTCCTTCCTTCTTTCTTATTTATTTATTCGACTTTTCCCCCGCCCTCCCGCCAAGGCAACTCAGGGTGGCTTACAATAGTTTAAAACCAACATAACAATTAATACAAGTCTAAAACAATACAGTCAATAAAATATCCAAATACACTTATTAAAATTGAGATTAAGACGTGGCAGCTTTCTGTTACAAAGTGCTAGAACCGTCAGTGTGGTCTGAGCTATTGAAACGCTTGCCGGAACAGCTCGGTCTTTACCGCTCTACGGAATTGGTAAAGATCCCACAGAGCTCGGATTTCATTTGGGAGCTGATTCCATAGTACTGGTGCAGCTAGGGAAAACGCCCTAGTTCTTGTCGATGTTAACTTAGCGTCCCTAGGGCCAGAGGGGACCAAGCGATTTTGTGACTCAGATCTCAGTGCCCTTGGGGGAACATACGGGAAAGGCGGTCCCTCAGGTAGACAGGACCTAGACCATTTAGGGCTTTAAAGGTCATAACCAGCACCTTGAACGCTATTGGCAGCCAGTGCAGTGACCTCAGGACAGGTTGGGTGTGCTCCCTCACGGGGAGACCCATCAGCAACCTGGCCGCGGCATTCTGCACCAGCTGCAGCTTCCGGAGTTGCCCCAGGGGCAGCCCCATGTAGAGAGCATTGCAGTAATCCAACCCCGAGGTGACCATAGCATGGATCACTGATGCCAGATTGTTGCGTTCGAGGAAGGGGACCAACTGCCTTATCAGCCGCAGATGGTAAAAGGCTGCCTTGGCAGTGGCTGCTACATGGGCCTCTATTGTCAAGGAAGCATCCAGGAGCACTCCCAAACTCCTGACCCTCAGAGCTGGCACCGAAGGCCGGAAGTGGGACCCCTTCTTGAGGCATTAGTCATCTGGGGGCAGAGAGGCTAGCTTGGGGGGGGGGGCTGGGTACGCCAGTTCCCAAGCAATCTCAGCCCTATTGCCTCACAAAAACACACCCGGGCTAAATCCCTGTTCCAGCTACAAACACGAGTCCGCATACCAGAGCAGACAATAAAACGATTCTACTGAAATAGGGGCGGAAACCTCCAGAATGGTCACCACAGACAGACAGGTAGGCCAAAGGAAGCCAGTTCAGTCCGTTTTTAAAGCTCAAATTGTCACTTTTCACTCACTGGCACACGGGTGACCGCGGATTTGGTTTTGGCCCGTTTGGCACGCGACCCCCAGTGTCCTCTTCTCTGATTCGCTACGGCAAAATGGCTTCTTCCGTTGACAGATGAGAACCTGGTGAACAAGCCGGACAAGCGAGGTTTCACCCCCTTGATGTGGGCCTCGGCTTTCGGAGAGATCGAAACGGTCCGCTGTCTCCTGGAACTGGTAAGGACCCTGGGGGCGTGGCCTTGGTGATGCTGGGGGCGTGGCCTCACCTGCCCGCTTCTGAACCATGTCCTCTCTGCAGGGTGCTGACCCCCACGCCCTCGCAGACCAGCGGGAGAGTGCCGTGTCGCTTGCCAGCACTGGAGGATACACTGGCATCGTCGTCCTGCTGCTAGAAAAGAACGTCAACATCAACAGCTACGACTGGGTAACGATTCGAGCAGCCAGACAGCTACTGAGACAGTCTGGTGCAGTGGGAAATGTGGGGATGGCTAATCCTGGCCGGGGTGTGTGGGGGGGGAGAGATATGTGGGTCAGCTCAGGCTCACAGGCCTCTCGCCTAGAATTTCGGGCATGTTCTATGGATCCTTCCTCTCTCAGAACTATTGTGCTTCAGCTCTAGTTGGTTTCCAGATGACAAGCCCAGTTCCTATTGCATTGTCTTTTGGGTGTCCCACTCTGTTGATTGTATAGATTTATTCTGCTGAATTGCAGCTGACAACGAAGCTCAAGACAATGTATCCACCTGGACTGAATCGAGACCTAGGTTTCCTGTCTCATTACCCATGCTGATTTCTCCACCCTACCAACCTCTGCGTGTCACACCTACTCCAATCACACCTGCTATTATCATTGGCCTGCTAATGCCATTTGGAATCTGAAATCTCTCCTCTTTCTGATATATAAGACAGATGGACTCACATTCTAGCTTTCATCTGATGAAGTGAGCAGCAACTCATGAAAGCTCCTACCCTGCCCCAGATTTTGTTAGTCTTTAAGGTGCTACTGGGCTCTTACACCACCCTGAGTCCCAGTGAGAAAGGTTGACTACTAATAACGTAAACTGATAAGGAATTCCTTGCAGGAAACACAAGATCGAAACCAGTATCTCTTGCCCATTCATCCTCCAGCCATTGATCCGTTTAAAATTTGCAAACCGCAATCGCTCAAGCTAGGGGGCGTGGTGTAGTGTGATGGACTCAGTGCCTCTGACCTTCTTTGTTTACTTCCACAGAACGGTGGGACCCCAATCCTGTATGCTGTGCGGGGCAATCACGTCAAGTGCGTCGAGACGTTGCTAGGTAAATCCTCCCAGGGGGGCAGCAGCAAGAGTGTAGTCTGTGACTGGCAGTGCTAAGATACCATGTGAAAAATTACAGGTACCTTACGTCATCCGAGGAGCTGTGGTGGCTCAAGTGATTAAGACACTAAACTGCAGGCCGGGAGGTCGGTAGTTCAGCGGTTCGAGACCCGAGTGCCGCATAACGGAGTGAGCTCCCGTCTCTGGCCCCAGCTCCTGCCAACCTAGCAGTTCGAAAGCAAGAAATTGCAAGTCGATAAATAGGTACCGCTTTGGTGGGAAGGTAACAGCGTTCCGTGCGCCTCGGCGTCTAGTCATGCCGGCCACATGACCACGGAAACGTCTTTGGACAGCGTTGGCTTTTCGGCTTGGAAACGGAGATGAGCACCGCAACTCTGGAGTCGGATTCGACTGGCTTTTGAGCAAGGGAAACCTAACCTACGTCATCTGATCCCTGTTGAGCCAGAAGCTGCAATACCGGCTCTGGCCACCTCCAGTGGTGGGGCACTGAAGGGCATCCAAAAGCAGGCAAGCAGTTCCCTCTCCCAAGTAACACAGAAAGCCAATGTGCTGAGGTCCCACTTTCAAAGCGTCCTGTGTCATAACATGGCAAAACATCCTTGAGACACATTCCGAATTCTTACAAACACGCTAGTGAAGAGCCTCGGACTTTATCGCAACATCCAGCTTACCGGGCAGGTGTTCACTTCATTGGATCGGGGTGTGATGGCTGAGCTACAGTTTGGCAGTACGCAGTGTGGCGTTAATGTGGGACTGCGGGTTTCTGTCACACTAGGTAAAGGTTTCTCTTGCTTGAAAGCCAGTGATTAACACCAAGTAGTGTGAACTTATTTCTTATTTATCAGGCAAGCAGATTGTTCTTTATGTTGCTATGTGGTTGTTAAAGCACATAGCCTCTTAAAGCATATTGTTACAAAGATCTGCCCGTTAATAAGAAGCATCTAAACTTAGGGAAGGGCTAGTCCCAGATAACTGCAGTGACTCCCACTTCGTTTCCAGGGCCAATGCAGAGTGTTGATACTTACCTTTAAGGCCCTAAATGGCCTGGGACCCTCATCCCTTCAGGATCGCCTCTCCTGGCAATGTTCCTCCTCCTCGTCGCCAGTCTTAATATCAGGCATTTATTGATGGTCCCTGGTCTACGAATTGTCCGCCTTGTGTCAACAAGGGTGAGGGCCTTCTCAGTAGTGGCCCCTGTCCTGTGGACCTAGCTGCCTGAAGAGGTGCGTGCCTTGTGGGACCACTGTTCCCTCTAAGCTGAGTCAGTGCGAGCTGGCTCACAGTTATTTAGCCTCCAGCTCACACATTTTTGTCTTAGCTCAGGAAGGAGGGCTCCAGGGCAAACTACTTCGTGCACAAGCCTAATTCCTCGCTCACAACCTTAATGCCGGTAGCTCACAAAATAGAATTTTTGCTCCCAAGACTCCACAGCTTAGCGGGAGCATTGGCTCCACAAGGCATGGAAGGCGGCTCTTTGGGGGGGGGGCCTTTGGGTGATGTGATCCACCACCAGGCAGCTGGTGTGCTTCAGCCGCGTTTTCCCCATCCACACATCCTACCCTGCTTTTGTATTGTTTTTATTGTGTGTGTTATATGCCATTAGCCGCCTCGAGCACCGTTCGGGGGAGAGGGATATAAGTCTGATAAATAAGAAAAGGTAAAGGTTCCCTTGCTCGAAAGCCAGTCGAATCCGACTCTACGGTTGCGGTGCTCATCTCCGTTTCCAAGCCGAAGAGCCAGCGCTGTCCGAAGACGTTTCCGTGGTCATGTGGCCGGCATGACTAAACACCGAGGTGCACGGAACGCTGTTACCTTCCCACTGAAGTGGTACCTATTTATCTACTTGCAATTTCTTGCTTTCGAAGTGCTAGGTCGGCAGGAGCTGGAACTAGAGACGGGAGCTCACTCCGTCATGCGGCACACTTGGGTCTCGAACTACTGAACTACCGACCTTCCACAGCCTGCAGTTCAGCGTCTTAACCACTTGAGCCAGAAACAGGAACTTACAAGCGAGGAAACTGAGAATACGGAAAAGCCCTCCGTTGGTTTGGCTGGCTGTAGGAGAAATTACTATTATTATATTATTAATTAGATTTCTGAATCACCCCATCCCTGAGTACACCTGGGAACCGAGATGTAAATTCTTGACTGCAATGATAAATCAATTGCAAAAAAAATTCCTGACATCGATAAATTAATATTTCTGCTGCCAGACACAGACCCTATGGCTTCCTATAGCGTAGCACTCCTCGCCTTAGTGGGTAGTAAAATCAGAGCCAAGAACACAGGAAAATGTAATTAAACTGTAAAACAGCATTGCTTGAGGCTGTGTATGTGCTTCTGGAGATGGGTATTTATACTTAAGATTTCAATTAATCTAAATACTGAATGTGCAGATTTTTAGAGGTTATTATATTTTAAATTTAATTCAAATTCCAGTGCTATACCTAATTTGTATATTGTTTTAAATTGTAGTGGCCAATGGCTACAGTATAAATTTTACTACTACTACAACCACCATCCCTGAGTACACAGATCTCTGGGTGATTTACAACAAATTAAAACATACAAAAATACAGATTAAAATCAACAGTCAATTTATCTTGATTGCACCCACCCACCTGCTTACTTAGGTAAAGGTTTCCCTTGCTCGAAAGCCAGTCGAACCCGACTTTAGGGGTGCGGTGCTCATCTCCCGTTTCCAAGCCGAAGAGCCAACGCTGTCCGAAGACGTTTCCGTGGTCATGTGGCCCGCATGATTAGACGCCGAGGCGCACGGAACGCTGTTCCCTTCCCACCAAAGCGGTACCTATTTATCTACTTGCAATGTCTTGCTTTCGAACTGCCAGGTTGGCAGGAGCTGGGACCAGAAACGGGAGCTCACTCCGTCACGCGGCACTCGGGTCTCAAACTGCTGAACTACTGACCTTCCGGTCTGCGGCTCAGCGTCTTAACCACTGGGCCACCACAGCTCCTCCTCCTTACTTACATACTACTTAATTGCAGCTTGCCTTTCTGGAATCTACAGTAATGACATTTACTGCTGAACAATTCTGAGTATTCCCGTTGTATGGTTTCAGCTCGAGGTGCTGATCTTACCATGGAAGCAGATTCCGGATACACACCGATGGACCTGGCTGTGGCGTTGGGTCACAAAAAAGGTACATCACAGGGGAAAAGAAAGCGGCATTCTGGGACGGCAGGGACAGAAACCCTAAGCCTATGATCTGATCCAGAGATATGAAGGCCTGGGGGAAAACCAAAGAAATGTGTGCGGGGTGTGTGTCACCTTTTTCCTCATTTTTCCAAGAAAACACAGAAGACATTTTGGGGAGCCTAGAAAGGGGGGGAAAACCCCTCCTATAAAGTGTTTTCTTTTTTGGAACAAGTAAAATGCTTTTCAAGACAAGGTGTTAGTGTGTAGTATGAAGAAGAGGAGGAGTTTGGATTTATATCCCGCCCTTCACTCAGGGCGGCTTACAATCTCCTTTCCCTTCCCCTCCCCACAACAAAGGTGGGGCTGAGAGAGCTCTCCTGAGAACTGCCCTTGCGAGAACAGCTCTGAGAGAACTTGTGACTGACCCAAGGTCACACCAGCAGCTGCAGGTGGAGGAGTGGGGAATCAAACCCGCTTCTCCCAGATGAGAGTCCTAACCACTACACCAAACTGGCTCTCATATAAGGCAATTGAAAACGAGTCCCCAACGCAGTGCCCGTGGGCACACTAGTGCCTTCCATTACCTTTCCTGGCACCCACCAAGTGTTGTAAAATGTGGGTAGGGCCGGTGGGGCTTCTGATGGGCCACTGGATATCCGATTGGCTGGACAGATTAAAGTAACGTTGTTTCAGCGGCAGCTGTCCCGACGATGTTGGTTTTATTTTCTCACTCCTTATTCCCAATGCATTTTTTAAAATTACTACTCTTGTCCTCTGTGTGTGTGTCTCTCTGTCACTTTGCCTCCTGTGCCCACCACCCGGCGTCAGAATTCCGAAGCTGCCCACAGGGTTGGGGACTCCAGGTTTAAGACATTAGAGGATTAATTCCTGTGCATGCTGTAGATGCACCCAGTATTCTTAAGTATTGGATAAGTGTGGCTAATTTTGTCCACAACTCATAGGCGATAAAGTGTACAATGACCATATGTTATTGAAGAATTTGGTGTTTTGTGTTCCCAAGTTTAAATTGGTAACCAAATATTGTATTTACTCAAATGCAAGATTAGGGCCCCCCCTCAGGTATGCTATCAAAAGACAACAACAAATCTTGCATACGTTACAATTTTGTTCAATAGTAGAGGGTTTGGGGATTTTTTGCATATAAGCTTTTTTGGGGGAGGGATCTTACATTTAGGGTTGTCTTCCTTTCGAGTAAATATGGTATGCTGCTAGCTCTATGGACGCTGTAGCAGACTGTTAGTAAGAACATAAGAAGAGCCCTGCTGGATCAGACCAGTGGTCCCTCTAGTCCAGCATCCTGTCTCATACAGGGGCCAACCGGTTCC